CCCCGGCGGCCTCCAGCTGCTCCCCGGCCCCCAGCCCGGGCTCCGGACTTCCCTACGGCGAGGGTGCGAGTCCTCCAGCCACGCTCCTCCACCTCAGTATCAGCACTGGGGCTTGAGCGCCCCGACGGGCGACCCCGAGCTGCTTCCCGGCAACGCACCTGGCCCAAGCTCGGGGATCCTCACGCCAGAGCTTCGCGCACCGACCCTCAAGCCTCCTCCGCGGCCGCCCAGCCCTCGGCGGGACCGCACCTCGCTTTTCCCACCTCCACTCGGAGCACCACGTGCTCTCCCTCGGGTACTTGACAGGTGGGCGGGGCCGCCCAGGCTCGCCCCGCCCCAGACCGGGCGTAAGGCCCCGCCCTAACCTGGCGCAGGCCTGGCGCCTGCCTGCCCAGGCCCCGCCCCACCCGGCGCTAAGCCCCGCCCCTGCCTGCCCAGGCCCCGCCCCTCCCGGCGCTAAGCCCCGCCCCTTCACCCCATCCGCTCCGCAGGAGTCCACCGGCAGGGGCCACAGCCCTCCTCCTCCCTGTGGACACAGCCAAACTGGCTTCCATTCACCGTGACCCCCTCACACCCCACATTCACCCACACCTGGGGACCCGCACATGGGTGGAAGTCTGTCTGCCGCGCACATGCTCCCTTCCTCGGGGTGCCGGCCCAGGGGGCCGGATAATGAACGTGAGCAGGGCATCTGGATTTGGCGGCGGGGGTGTGGCTGAAGGAGGCAGACGGACTGGAGCCAGCTCCACCCGGGCACCCAAGCAAAACCAGGCAGGATCCGTCCTCACTGCCTCTCCCTGTGACCCCCACCAGCCACTGCGCTGCCCGTGCCTCAGTGTCCCTCCTGTCCATGAAAGAGCCTGTGTGCGTGTGCACACACATACATATCCGTGTACATGCTGGCAGTGGAGTTTGAACTCAAGCCTGGTTACTGTCTCTTAGCTTTTTCCACTCAAGGCTGGCACTCTACCACTTGAGCCACAACCTCACTTCCAGCTTTTGGGTGATTCATTGGAAATAGTCTTCCTGACTTTCCTGCCCAGGCTGTTTGGAACTGCCATCCTCAGATCTCAGCCTCCTGAGCAACTGGGATTACAGGCCTGAGCCGCCCCACACCCAGCCAGTTCACCACTTACTAAAAACTCTGGCAAGTCAGCCTTTGCTGAATTGGAACCTTGGCTTTTGCACTAACCCCATGGTACCGGATCCAGGGGTCCTGCACCAAATACTGACTCCAGATTTCCAGGGCCATCCTCCCTCCACCGGAGATGCCACCAAACGAGGCGCTCAGAAATCCAGCCCTGCCTCTGTGGCTGGGACATGGGATAACCACGGCTTCCCTAGCTATAGAACGGGTATGCAACAATGCAATGCCGGGGCTCAGCTTAGAGGCAGAAGGCTTGCCTGACAGGCCCGAGGCCCTGGGTTTCACCCCCAGCAACCCCAGACATACATACACACACAGGCGTTGTTTCTAGGCCTATCCAACAGGACACAGGTTGAAACCTTATGCCATGTTCAGGGATTGGGGGGGGGAGGGGAGAGGTGGGAGAGAGACATTATCCATGCTGGAGTTCTAGATGTGCACCATCCAATAGGATGCCCGCCTGCTCAGTATTCACTACATTTCAAGTGCTCAGCAAGCTGCCTGCAATCCAGGGCAACACAGGTGCCGAGAGCCTTCCTACTGTCCCAGACAGGGCCACTGCAGCCCTGCTCAGTGCAGAAGATTCTTGCAGAACAAGGAAATCTCCAGTGCCACTGCCTAGGTTTCAAAGGCCAACTCCTGCAAGCTACCTAACCTTGGGCATATGAATTAAGTTCTCTGTGCCTCAGTTTTCCCATCTGAAACATGGGAGGGGGTAAATAGGGTGACCACACCTGCCTATGTTCATAGAGTCATGGTGAGGATCTCAATGAGTCTGTGGCTGTAAAGTAGGCAGCACAGCGTGTCTGGCTCTTAGTAAGTGCTCAGTGCGCCTTTGTTGGGCACAACTGCAGCAAGAGCCCATCCTGGCCCAGCCCCTTGAGGAAAACAGACTGGACCCCTAGGAGCCAGTGAGGGGGCAGGCAGGGAGGTCCTGGTGTACGTTGTAAAGTGACTTAAAACACTCCCCTCCATACCCCACCCTACCCCACCCCCCAGGAAGGGTCAGGCCATGCCCAGCCTCCCCTCTCCCCCTCTGCTTACCATCTCCATAGGCCGGCCCTGGGTCCTCGGCCCAGATGGGCGGGAAGGGCAAGGTAAGAGGTAAGCGAGGCCGGCGGGCCGTCAGGAAGCCGCCCGGTGGCCCCGGGGGCTCCCGGCCCAAGGGGCTGGGGGGCAGCTCAGCAGCCGAGGTGGCCAGCAGCTCCTGCAGGATGTTGATGGGTGACACGGTAAGCTCCCAGTTGGTGATGCCGAAGTCCCGCAAGTGGGCGCGGGCGTGGCTGGAGAGGCCCGCCCGCGTGTCGAAGCCAGCCCCGCAGAAATCACAGCGCATGAGGCTGAAAGTGCCGGGGTCGAAGTTGGCCACTGCAGGGAAAGGAATAGAAGATGGTGTGAGGGGACGGACAGGGGGGCGGCCCCGATGCCTCCACCCCCCGCCCATCGCCCTGGATCGCCTCATTTCCCTACTTCACCACGTCCATGCCACACCGATAGCTCTGAGCTCATGCACCCCTGTCCCCACACACACACACTAAGAACCCTGGCCCCCCGGGCCCCTTGGCACGGCTGGCGCCATCTCCAGCTGGTAGATCTGAGGATTTGGATACCTGTTGCATCTGTTTCGGTTTTGGTTTTTCTGCCCATTGCTGCCTGCCCCAGAACTATAAGTTAAATAGGGGTTGCATGAAGAAACGAACAGATAGACCAGGTGCAGTACCTCACGCTTATGATCCCAGCTACGTGGGAGGTGAGATACAGGAAGACCCCTCCCCATGATTATGAACCCAATCCAGGTGAAACATGAAGTGAGATCCCCATCTCAACCAATAAAGCTGGGCATGGTGGCATACGCCTGTCATCCCAGCTACCAGGGGGATGTAAACGTAAACCAGAGAGAGGTGCATGGTCCAAGTTAGCCCAAATAAAAATGTGAGACCCTAACCGACAGGCAATTAAAGAAAAAGAAAAGGGGCTGGGAAGGTGGCTTCAAGGTAGACTGCTTGGCTAGCATGCACGAAACCCTGGGTTCGATTCCTCAGTAGTACTACATACACAGAAAAAGCCAAGTAGTAGAGTGCTAGCTTAAGCAAAAGAAGCTCAGGGGGCCCAGCACCGGTGGCTCCCGCCTGTCATCCCAGCTACTCAGGAAGCTGAGATCTGAGGATCACAGTTCAAAGCCAGTCGGGGGAGGAAAGCCCGTGAGACTCTTATCTCCAATGAACCACCAGAAAACTGGAAGTGGCGCTGTGGCTCAAGTGCTGGAGCGCCAGCCTTGAGCTGAAGAGCTGAGGGACAGCGCCCAGGCCCAGAGTTCAAGCCCTAAGACTAGCAAAAAGAAAAAAAATAGGAGGAGGGGGTTCTAGGGCCATGGCTCAAGTGATAGAGGCCAGAAGGTCAAGCCCAAGTACCCCCCCCCAAGAAAAAAAAAAGAAAACCCCGCAGTGAATGGCGCCTGTGACTCCAGCTCTGGGAACCTTTCCTGGGGAGGGCTGGGGACCTTCTGGGCATTCCCCCACATCCTGGTTGCTTGCCGCCTAGCCTCGCACCCATGTCAACAACACCTCCCCAAGGAGGGCGGCCAGCCCGTAGAAGAGCCCCAGGGAGCTGCTGGCACAGGGACCCTGTCCCACCAGGCTTGGGCCAGGAATTCCAAGAGAACAAGAGTTGCTTCCAGCCGCCCTGCCCCTCTCTGAACAGACAGTCCCTTGCAGAAAGGGCCTCGGTGGCTGGTTGTCTGGCGCAGACCGAAGCCCCCCACCCTTCCCCCCAGGACCCTTTTCCTCCCCCCGCCCCGGCAGCTGGCACCGCCACCCACCTTTGCCGTGACTCCCTGGTCCCTCGGGAGGGGAGACCCCCAGGCTTCCCTTGCATGGCGCTAAGGGAGGAATTAGAGACAGGTGGGTGGGTTTAGAACTCAGCAGCACGAGTGTGTGCGTGTGCGTGTGCGGGTGAGTGTGTGGCTCCCAGGCCGTGGAGGGAGGTTAGTTTGGGGGTTTTTGGTGGGTTTGGATTTGGGGGGGGAGGTGGGGAGGTGTTTTTTTTTCTTTTTGGAGGTGAAGCCGCCCTACCTTTTTTCTTTTTCTTCTGGAAGGAAAACCGCCGCTCGATGGCCTTCACCTCCTCGGCGGAGATGAAGTGGCGCACGTTGTAGCTGACGCCCACGCGGTTCAGGTGGCCACGGACGTGATTGGCCAGCCCAATGCCATTGTGGAAGCGGTCCGGACAGTACGGGCACTTGCGATCTTCGGGTTTCAGTCCGCCAATGGGGTCCCCCCCAAGAAGCCTATCCAGCCCCAGCGGGCTGCCGATGGGCGCATCCAGGAGCAGGAAATCCAAGGGGTGGGTGGCCTCCAGGTCCAGCGCCAGCTCCTCCGGCTGCGGCCTTGGGGACCCCCCGGCAGCCGCGGTCATGAGCTGCGGCCCGAGCTTTGCCAGCAGGACGAGGGGCACCATGCCTCGGAGCTGCTCCCGCTGTGCCCGGGACGCCTGCGCGCTCCGCAGGGCCTCTTGGAACGTTCGCTTCAGACGTAAGGCCGGCTCGGGGAGGAGGCCGCGGGCAGCCGGGGGTGGCAGGCCTCCATGTTCAGGGGCAACATCCATTTCGGAAGTCAATGCTATATCCTCTTCCTCTTCCTCCTCCTCTTCTTCCTCTTCCTCCTCTTCCTCCTCCTCCTCCTCCTCTTCGCTCCAAGGGTACCGCCGGCGTTTGTTTCCACCAAGCTGTATGGTGTAGGGGGCCGAGGCCGGGGCAGTGGGAAAGGCCAGCCTTCTGAGAGGCCCCGGGCCGGAGTGGTGAAGCAGCGGCTCTGACACTGGAAAGTTCCTGGCGATGTCCAGCTGCTGGCTGTCTGGACATCCAGCGGGGTTCTCCTCCCGCCACATGGGAGCCAGGAGTGGCTCGGCCCTGCCAAAGTAGTCCACCGTGGCCACGTCGGGGGAGCGGGCATACACACCCTGGCTAGTGCCCGGCTGGCTGGCCAGGTCCTCTGGGAAGGCCTCCCACTGGGGACCGCCGTGTGCCAAGCGCGCATGCTCCCTGAGCAGGCCCTCGCTGGGTGCCAGGAAGCCACAGGAGAGGCAGGCACTAAGGTCGGAGGCTGCGGCCGCACAGCCAGCCTCGGGGATGGGGCTCCCGGCTCTGCTGTGACCCCCAGCTGCCCCCTCGAGGGGCGGGCCCGGCGGTGGCGCGAACGCCCCGGAGGGATTGGTCGCAAAGACGCAGGCGGGACGCTGCCAGCGCGCCGGGCGCCCCTGGCCCTCGCCCGGGCACCGCTTCAGCTTCTGGATCTCCTCGATGATCTTCTCCCGGGAGGCCTGGTGCCGCTGGCGGTGCTGCTCCAGGGACGCAGGGTCGGCGAACGGCCAGCCGCACTCCCCGCAGGCCAGCGGGGCCGGCCCGGCGCGGGGCTCGTGGCCCGGGGCCTGCCGGTGCTGATTCATGTGCTCCAAGAGATGGGCCTTGTGCCTGAAGTAGATGTTACACTCCACGCAGGGGAACACGGCGGGCTCGTATTCCTCGTCTTCCTCCTCCTCCTCCTCCTCCTCCTCCCCATGGCCGTCGGGACTGGCCCCCGTCCCGGCCACCTCCTCCAGCAGCTCGCCCAGGTAGGCGCCCGTGGGCAGCGGGGACGGCGCTGGCTGCAGACGCTCCACGGACGCCTCGGCGTTCACCGTCCACGTCTGCGTGGCCACCTCGGAGGCCGAGGCGGGAAGGAACCACTCGGAGGGCCGGCTCAGGCCCTCCACGTCCTCCGGGTGGCCCCTGCGGCCGGCCACGTCCATGCCCGACGCCTTGGGAAGGTCACCCAGCGGCACGGTCACCCTCCTGAAGGCTGACAGGTCCCCGCGGGACCCCAGCTCTCTCTGGGCACCCTGATCGTCCATCTCTTGGAGCCAGGTGAATGAGGGGCGACCCCGGGGGGGTTTCTCCCAGACCTTCAGTTCACCCTGGTGAGGTAAGAACCTTCTAGAGCCCTGGGCGTGGTGGGGGTTCAGGGTTCTCATGATGACTGAGTCTTCGAGCCTCCGCTCAGATGGGTCGCCCTCCCCGGCCCCCAGAACCAGGGGGGGCCCGGGGAAGAGGCAGGGGGGCGGGGAGCCCGGCCGGAAGTCCAGGCAGTCTCCATCAAAGCAGCTGTAAGGGAGTGCCAATGGGGACAGGTTAGCCCTCGGGGCCTTGTGCATCCTAAGACGGCTGCGGGGCGTCCTCCAGGCCCACCAGATCCAACTCCAGGGTGAGCCTAGACCGGCCGGTGACGGGGGCCGAGGGAGGGGAAGGGCAAGCAGACCGGTCTGGGTTCAGCTCCCAGGTTGCATCTGTTTCCAGAGCCAGCCCTGCTGCATCATGGGAGAATGTGGCAAGCCGGTGGGGGGGGGGTAGTCTGGGGCTGCCTCAGGGAACATGCCCAAGCCCCCTCCAGAGCTGTCAACTCTCATCTCTCTTCCGGGAGGACTCCAGGGCTGGGGTGTGCATTCCAGGCTGCTTTCTAAGTTGGTCTTTCCACGCCGGAGAGATTTAGTTCATCAACTACACCTCTCCCCCAAAAGGTGGTGGAAAGCGAACTTCACAGCGGAACGGTTCACGAGAGGCATCTGCTCGCCCCCCTGCGTCCCCCTCCCCGGCCCTCCGTGGACGGGCAAAGTCAGCCCCGGACCCAGTGACTCTCACCTTCCCAAGTGGGAGGGGGGTGGAGGCCTGGGGTGAGGGGAGGAGAAGCAACTTCTCTGGGCCTCAGTTTTCCAATCACAAAAAAAAAAAAAACTGGAAATCTCCTCGCCCTGTACAACATCTAAGGAGTTTCACGTCACCAGCAAACACTGTGCACTGCACACCTGTAATCTCAGCTACTCAGGAGGCTGAGATCTAAGGATTCTTGGTTCGAATCCAGCCCAGACAGGAAAGTGCTTGAGACTTTATCTCTTCACTTAGGTTAGCCTCAGACCTAGCTCCTGGTATCTGTGAAATCCGCTTGCCTGGGTCATGCATTTCTGGCTATCCTATTTAGCTTATTACTCGAGATGAGGGGTTCCTGCTATTTGCCCAGGCTGGCTCTAACTGTGATTTCCCCCAGTGGCTAACCTTTAAGAAGCTGGGACTACAGGTATGAGCCACATGGCTGGTCCCCTTGAGGGTTGCTGTGTGTTGGGTTTTGTGGTTTTGTTGTTTTTTTTTTTTTTGAGACAGGGTCTCATGATGTAACCCAAGTTGGCCTTGAACTTGGGTCTTCCTAACTACAGGTGTGCACCACCACACCCCAAATCCCCATTTCAGGGGTATGTTGTTTTCCTCATTGATTTGGTGACGATCACCCCTCCACTTTTAAGACCTTGGTTCCATGAGTGTGATTAGTCACACCCATAGTACA